TATCCTGTCCATGGAAGATTGTATTGCTTTGAAAAATATTTACAGACCACACCTTTTCATACAAAAACCTTTTTATTTTAGGTTGCATGAAAACATTTGCTTTTTTTTGCTTGATTCTACATGTATTTCTCGTTCTGCACATAAAACAGCATTGTGATTGGTAGCATCTGTGATGAAAGATATTTTCGTGATGTATTAGGAAGAGTGAGCAAGGACTGAACTCAGACAATTAAAGTAAACCATTAATATAAGAATAGTTTCAAGCCTGTCTGCCAGTTTTGCTTATACAGTATATGTTTCTATAAGCAAATATAGGTTTTGCTTTTATTTTCTAATTGTTAAAAATGACATAAACAACTGAGAGTCAAATTATGGAGATATTAATGTTAATATTCAGTGATATCTGGTATTCAGTATAAATACATGATTTACAAAATAATCATGTACAGGATTTTTATGAAAAATAGAAATCACATAAGACTAAGATTTATTTTTCATTTTTTAATTTAGAACTTTAACTTCACCTTGCATTTTCCAGACAGAATTAAAATGCTGTAAGAGAAGGTTCTTTACTTATTTAATATGCCACAATATAACTTCTTGGATTTTATTTGGTTTCTGAAAAAAGTCTATGAGAGTAGGTTTGCTTCATCGATCAAAATAAATCCAAGAAGTTTCAAGTACAAAGCACCAAGTAATAGGTTTATAGGTCTGTCACACCCGAAGAAGGCTCCACAGCCGAAAAGTTGTTTTCTTTCTTCTCTTTTCAGCATGGAATAAACCTATTACTTGTTCTTTTGCAGCCTACTGTATGCATGCTGATGCAGCTACCCACCTGAACTGGGTAATAATATTATTATTAATTGGATTTTTAAATAGGTGGGTTTTGGGATAAATAGGCACACAAATGCAGCTTAAGTTAAACTGAAGAAAAATGATCGTCTTTTTACAGTTTATACAATATAAAAAAACAACAAAACAAAAAGCCCAGTACTGTCTAAGTTTTGACTAGTCACTTGACATTTCTCTCTGAAAGTAGTCAGTTCTCCCACCTCCCTCTGTGCAGAGCATAGCAGAGGTTCTGCTTTCTTCCTACACATCAGAAAAACGACACTTTAATCGGAAGCTCACACTTCCTGGTTTTAAATGTCACTTGACTAATTGTCTTCCATCATTTGGTCAGGTGATGGGATTGCCATTTCCCACTGCCTTCCTGGTAATGTAATTCTGATAAGAACTCCCATCTTGTTTACACCCAACATCCTCTTACATTATGTAATTAATCTACTGTAAATATAATGAAATACTGCTTTAGACACCAATATTGACTATTGCTAGTATGTGTCCATGCTGATTAAGAAGAGTGTGTGTCATGCTGATTATAGAGCTCAGCCTTAGCTTGGACAAATACATTTTTAATTGAGTCAATTAGGAAGCTTCTGGGCTTCATTGGCTCCATTGGCAGATTCTTGATACTGTAAATCCACCTCCATTCTTTCGACTTTCAAGTTTGCTCAGTGGGACTGAAATACTTCGATATCCTTTGTCATGTCTCATTTGGATTTGTGTGTTCTTAGTTTGATATGTACTTAGAGCATGATTGGCTGGAGCTGAGCTTGTGAATTCTATTCACAATTTTAAAAATAATTATGTCCTATATCTTCAATCTTCTTTGATCCAAGTAAAGATAAATTCTAGATTGCATGAAGCCTTTTCTCGATAAATTCCAGGTCAGTTCCTTTCAAAAACTGATTACTGGATACTGTACATATTGCCATCTACAGTATTACGATTTACGTAGTATATGGCCTTGAGATCTAAATTTTGGTTTTGTTTCTAATGGAGTAGGAGAGACCACAGAAATATAAGAAAGCTAAGTGTTAATTCCAAAGCTTGCAATATTGTGCCAGATTGCAAATGGGTATCACAAAATAGTAGTGGGTATCAAAAAATTAGGAGTTGAATTTAATTAGTTGGTAGTGGAAAAGGAACTTTGTGTCCTTTATTTCTATTCAGTGCAGATACTGTATGCATATAACACAATCCAGTTCTTTAGTATGCACGATATACAACAGACAAAAGAGCAAATAAATCAGAAGCAATGCCACCTGATAACTCCTGTAATTCTGTTGAGACAATGAGAAATGGCACTAAATAAATATAGTAGCGTACATACAGTATTTATAATAAATCTGTGTGCCACCTGTTAACATCCATTTTGTTCAATAAATATAAGCATTGTGAATATTCACTTTAGGATTTTATCTGACTTATCAGCCTCACTGGAGGCATGATTCAAAATATGTCACAAAATCTTGTCACTTTACAGCCAATTAGACAATACATTATAAATATATACATTATCAGGGAACTGCTCTCGGCATTCATACATAGCTAGTTAAAACGTTAGAGGAAATGTCTTTGTAGAGTAATTCCCAGCTGGTTTTTCCTGTAAAAGGACATAGACAGGGTTGTGTTCATAACTATGTCATAGAGTCCTTTGAGCGTCAGCAGAAATGTAAAACATCACTTGCTTCCTCATGTGATAAGAACTTCTGCAAATGATTTGTTTATACAAAGCTGCCCATAATAGATCCAAGCTCTTTTATGACCTATTTTCCATTAACATTTTTCCCCTGACACAGATATTCATAAAGTGGAATAATACTGTGTCTCTGAAATTATTTTATAATATTAAACCCAGTGTTTATTACACAGTAAATCAAACATCATCAGGTTACAAAGTTTCCATTTAAAGTTCTAGCTTCTGCATAAGTAAAATTAATGCACCACTTCTATTTTCTAACCAGCAATACACAATCTAAACATAAATACCTAAAGAAAATGTATTGACATGCCCTATAGGTACTGTAATTTGCAAACTATTGTGAAATAATTACTTTTTGTTACCTGCCACTTGCAAAGAAAAAAATTAAGAATAAGAAAAAAAAGTTTTTGTTAGCAAAATTGAACTCCTTTTCTCTGTTTTACATAATGCAGAGTTGCAGCCCATGTCACTATAAGATCACCAAACCAGTTTCTGCAGGTTTAATCTGGTAAATGTCAAAGTGGGCATTTTAATACCACACTATTATAAAGTGATTCAGTTTTAAGGTAAATCTAGGGGTTCCTTGATTTTAATCATGGATCAGACATTTACAGTATTTCTGGAGTATCCAGAGTTTTTGTTAACAAGTCTCGTCTTGTTTGTCCAAAAAGAATATGTTCTTTGCACACATCTCCAGTCTTGCTAAATAATAACTCCAAACTTGGCCTCTTGCAGCCTGCAGAACTCATTATTTTAGCTGGTCTCACTCCAGACATTTCTTGCCCTCCAATGAGGAAAGAAAAGAAAGTTTCTTTCAATGCATTCACAAGATTGTGTATGTATTGTGTATTGTGCTATGTTGTGCATGATGGTCAGCCATGACAGTAGTTATTTACTGTTTTGTAATATCTTGAGAGTATGGCATGAATAAGAACCCTAATGTACATGTACATATGGCAAATAAGTAAATAAATAATCTCAGAAACACAACCAATCTCACATACAATAATTGTTTGTATGTTTTTGGTACCTTGTACAGGTGAAAATCCTTCTGTAGGCAGCAAAATATGGCAGGTGTCTGGATGCCATCAACAACATGTAAACTGATGATGTGAGCAATAAAAATGGGTACTAATCAAAATTGCCTTTCTATAACAGTATTTCCAAATCTTTAGACTAGTCTACCTGGTCTAGTCTAAAGTTCATTGTAGATGTTAACCATGATAACCATGATAATTTCCTCATTTAACCAAATGTTTTCATTGTGCAATCTTTCCATGAATCCTACTGTTACTGTTTTAATACAGCAATATTTAAATTAATATCATTAAGAGATACAATAGTGCTGCTTAAATCATTAACCTCAGCCTTTACAATAATTAGTCTGTCTTCTATTTTTGTTTTCCATTATTTATCCATTATTTTTATTTTTATATTATACATTTTCAAGGTTTATAATCTGTTTTTAACATTCTCATCTCAACAAAGGTTTTTAAACTATAGATTTCAGGATCAAATCTGCTTCTATAAGATGTGCGATTACAGTTTGCCTTTCATTTTATTTTCTGTTCTCTTTCTTCTTCATAGATACCAGTTATAGTGTTTGTTCATTATGGCTGCACCTCTGTAGGGTAAAAATGTACTTTTCTTGTAGTGTCACATACATAATATTCTTATTTGCAATGAGCCCATGTCTATCCTAAAAAACATTATCTCTTAACTAATTTATTGAAGCCATGGTAACCCAATTATTATACAATTTTCTTTAATTTCTTCACATTCCATTAGATAGACCATGGTCATAATTACACGAGAGATACTCCTGTAAAATGACAATCAGCTACTGTATGTATCCACTGGTATATTTTACTTTGAGCTGGAGAGAAAACATCTGGGTAAAAAATGAATGTACAAAACTTTATTTAAAT